CGTACACAGTGTACAAGAGATGTCCTGGTATTGCCAAGAATCTCTGGGACCTGTTAAGAACTGGATATAAGTTAGAAGAATATCCTGACAATTGTAGGTATTTCGAGGGTGTCTACATCCCAAAGGCGGATGGCGACTTTTCACCAAGTTCAGGACGGCCTATTTCCCTGGGTAACATTCAAGGGAAGATCTATTTGGCGATCCTGGCGAAGAGGTTGACCAGCTTTGTTGTCTCGAATGGATATGTAGACCTCTCTATACAGAAGGGTGGTGTGCCAGGCGTCCGTGGGTGCACGGAGCATTTTGGTGCCATGTGGGAGGTACTGAAGGAGGCAAAGGTCAAGAAGAAGGATCTGAGTGTAGTATGGCTTGACCTGGCTAACGCTTACGGAGCGGTACCCCATGTTCTGATTGCCAGGGCCCTCCGTTTCTACAATGTCCCTGAGAAGGTTATCAACATTATCCTACGGTACTTCTCCGGGGTATTCGGAAGGTTCTCCTCAAGAACGGTGACATCAGACTGGCAGCAGTTTGAGATAGGAATCTTCATGGGGTGTGTGATATCAGTCATCTTGTTTGTCTTGTGCATGAACCTTGGGCATGAACACCTAAAATCTAAGGTTCCGAGAAGCATTGAGTACATCAAGGATGACACACCAATACCAACTCTGAAGCTGTTTATGGACGATAGCTGTCTGACCACCGCACGTGCAGAAGATATGCAAACGTTACTCAATGTGTTTCAGAAGTACGTGGACTGGTCCAGATTTAAGTTAAAGTCCTCCAAGTCCAGAGCACTGGTGTTGAAGAAGGGAGTGGCTGTGAGGTGGGTTGAGGAGGTAGTGGTAGGAGAGGAGGAGGTGGAGAGAGAAGAGGTGTGTTTGCAGTTGGGTGGTGAGGTGATTCCGAATGTGTCAGAGAAGCCGATAAAATTCCTTGGGAGATGGATAAGAGTGGAAGGAAATGACAAATCAGTCATCGACTCAACCAAGGTCGACCTTAACACTTTTCTTCGGAGACTCGATGAAAGTTCCCTTACTGGACTCCAGAAGCGCTGGGGATATCAGTACATGGTCCTTCCAAAACTGAAGTGGCCTCTTGCCATCTATGATATTCCGATCACAACAGTTACCAGATGGGAACAGAATACCAATAGTTTCCTCAGAAAGTGGTTAGGGGTGGGGCACACTCTGAGTGGTCTTTGTCTGTTCAGTCAATCATCCAGTGTGGCCTTACCGGTGAGCAGCCTGACAGATACATGGAAGATAGAGAAGTGTCGACTGTTGCAATCTTATCAGACATCTAAGGATGACCTGATTAAAGCAGTCCAGCCCCAAGTTTGTTCTGGTAGAGTTTGGAGGCCTGAGACAGAACTGGAAGAGGCCAGAAGAGATTTGGTCTGTGAATCGGTGCGAGGGATGGTGCAACCTCAAAAAAGAGTTGGCATCGGTTTTGGTGACTGGAAAAAACCTTGGGAGAGGATGGATGAGCGGGAAAGAGAGAGGGAGGTTATGCTGAGAGTGAAGGAGAACATTGAAAGAGAGAGGGAGGTGCAAGTAGGTTCTCTGGAGATGCAGAGCAGGTGGGGTGAGTGGAGAGAGCTCGTAATGAAGACGGATTTGAGCTGGCATACACTTTTTAAGTATGGTGACTCACTTATTGGGTTCATGCTAAGTGCTGTGTACGGCACCCTCTTAACCCCCTCTATGGTTTCCAAGTGGAGTGAAGATGAGGATGGGAAGTGCAAGTTATGTGAGGAGAGGATGGGCACCATTCAGCACATTTTGGCTGGGTACTGTAAGGTGGCCCTTAGTCAAGGAAGGTATCGATGGCGGCACGACAAGGTTCTGAAGCAGATATCTGAACAGGTTGTCTTTCATTGTGATCGCCGAGTGAACACTTATAAGAACAAGGCCGGCGATGGAAGACAGTTCATTGATTTTGTTCCTGCTGGGAGGAGAAAAGCAGGTAAAGACGACCGGAAGGAGAGTCGTGGTTTCGGGATCCTGAGTGGGTATCGGGATTGGATAGTGCTGTCAGACCTTGAGGGGCAGCTTAAGTTTCCCAGTGAGATTGTGGAAACACGGCTGAGGCCGGACCTTGTGATATTCTCAAGGTCAGCAAAGGCAGTTATTTGGTGAGAGCTAACAGTACCATCTGAAGAGCGGATCGCTGAATCGCACGAGTACAAACTCGACCGATACAGTGGTCTGCAGGCTGAGATTCAGGCGAAAGGTTGGTGCTGTTATAATGCCGCAGTCGAAGTTGGAGCTAGGGGAGTGGTTGCGCAGAGTTTGGAGAGAGCTGCGAGGAGGATTGGTTTTAGGGGAAGAGAGCTGAAGAAGCTGGTACAGGACAGTGGGAAAGAGGCAGCCCACTGTTCCAGATGGATTTACTTGTTATCGAGAAAGAGGGAGTGGGAGTTCAGGAAGGTTGGAGCTTGAGAGTTCACTATAACATCTAGAGGTACCATAAACGTTATCTCGTCGCCAATTGCGAGCTCTAACGGGTCTCCTCAAGTGACTCTCGGATCAGATGGTGGTTCAAGGGTGGACTGCTGGGGCGCCTGACAGGAAACCGTATTGCGATTAAAGCCCCGAAACGGTGTCAGGTTGGTAACTGATGATTCTGATCCATGCTCCTGTGAGTTTGCTGTTGTATCTCAACTCGCTAAACTGAGGCATCTCCGCATCTTGGGTGAATATGCGTACATCTTCATACTAAACCCAGGTGTGGCATGTGTCAGTGAATACGGGCGAGCGGATGCAATAGCGAAGGTGGTGTGGCAAGGCCTAAAAGACACAGTCAGATAGTTGTCAGCTCGCTGACTGTAAGGGAGAAGGTATATCCGTATTTCGCTGCTACTGATGCAGTCCTTGATCTGGCAATCAAGGAGCTTCTCTGTTTTTCGTCTAACTATGTACCGTTGGGCTTGTGGAACCCGTAAGGGGGACATACATAGGTTAGAATGGTTTTGTGCACCAAGAGGAGTGAGGGAGTGAGGGTTGAAGAGAGAGAGAGAGCTTGAGAGTTGTTAGGGTGGTTAGGATCAGTAGGTGGAGTGTTTGGTTGGAGCCTTCTGTTTTTGCTGTATAGCATTTTAGTCACTCCGCAGTTTATTAACTGTGTCTCAACTCGTTCCAGTCTAATGAGAGGAGGGGGAACTCAACATGGTCATTTCGTAGTGATGCTGAGTTTAACTGTCAGAGATTTTATATAACGTGAGCTCGATAAGATATTTTGCTATATTTTAATAACAATAGTCGTCGATGATCTCTTTTGTGCAGGATATAGTGTTGTCACCGTCCCTACTTCTTATATCAATATGTTTGTAAACCATGGGGTGCGGTGGGTGTAATCTTCAAGTAAATCAATATCCTGCTACTACTCTGTACCAAGTTCGACAGACGAACATCTTTATTTTAAGTTTTTGACGTTGGTTCGGCTCTTAGTCTTACTAATTCACTCGGCCAAAAATTATCACATGACATTGGTTTTTATGGTTTTGCAGTCGAACAAAACGGTTTTAATAAACCCTAATCCCAACCCTAACCTTAACCATAAACCCAAAGCTATGAATAACCCTAACCACAACCGGTTGCAACCCTAACCCTAACCCGAGTCCTAAATAATCAAATTCATGTTTTACTAGCCTGTCACGTACGTGACCAAAAAGTTCTGTTGCCCATAACTCTCCAGGAAAGCATTTTTACCCTACGTCATATTGATATGGGGAGTGATTTGGAATCAGCGTCCAAAATTATTTTAATAAAGTTTTTTTTAATTCTATCTATATGAGTTAACTTGTGTTCTTAGTGCTGAGACACCGTATTTGTTGTATCACGTCGTGACCCCCACTGTCGTTTCAACGATACAGGTGGGTCATACAACGTATGACACCGTATTTGTTGAGTTTTGTCAATTTGGGTGGATATATTGTTTTGAGATTTAAGCTGATATGGTGCCCTTTAACTGTGTGGGAACTGGGTCAAATTGAGCGAAGTTGTCGGTCACCCACTCAGGTACAACTTAATTCTGGTCATAGTTGCAATTGCAAAATCAATTGGATGGTAGAAATAGATAAATAGATCATAGATGGCTCTTTTCGATCCATATATTTACATTCTACCACCCAATTGATCTACCTAGGCTTTTATTATGATATCACCTAAGCAATAATCAATTGGTTGCGAAAAGCATTAGGGATCGTTGGCATATATCACATAATCACTTTTGGCCAAAATGGGTAAGTTAGATTAAGACTAGTGGAATCATTCAGAAACTTCATCTTTCTCCTTCTATTACAGCCGAATATGTTGTAGTCGCATATATTTTACAGTTTTCGCAAAACGTTGTGTATCGTGGTGTCAGGAAAATGCATTTTCTAAAAATGTTTCACTTTTAGTTCTAGCGGATGGATTACTAAAAGTACACTAAAAGTAAAAGTAAGGTGATATGAAAGGGTCCCAATCCTGATAAACCATCTGCACTAGTCACTACATACTCATTACATACTCAGTACATAGGCCTTCATTTTCATTTCCATTACAATAACTGCGGTGTCCTTATTGCGAACAAGCATATTATATACTAGTGTAACCCGGCCTTCGACCGGGTTTTAACTGCCGCAGTTAAAAAGGGTAGGAGGAATTACCCGCTGAGTCAAAACCCGCATTAGGTGACCCAATAGTATTTCAAACAATAATCTTATAATCAGTTCTTTCTCGTGAATAATTAAGTCATTATTAGCCATTAGGCACCACATTCCATGATTATAAGGTCTGCACATTGCATATCATCTCATGTTATATATGCTATTAGCATTCTACTCCTTACTTTAACCTTTTGATGATTCGTCATTAAATAATTGAGAAATCTGTCGTCATTCCGTCCGTTACCATGACAACTGAGAAATCTGGTTGGAAAATAGTATTGTTTTTTGGATTGTTTTTCTGGGTACAATACTTGCAGTTTACCCTAACGACAAATCTCTTAGCGAAGAAAAACAAGTTGCCCGACATGATTGTGATTTTGGCGATAATGTTTGCTGCAGCTCATCAGGCACAGGCAGGACATGGAAAAGCTAACATGGATATGGAAAAGAATACAAGGATACACGGGTACAAGGATTTAGATGTATTACAAGGAAAAGCCCCGGCAGCGACCGCCTTTGAAGCCAATATTGACAGTGTTCTCAAAGACTATGATTGCGCTCGTGAAGGTGATCCAGATTGTGCAGTTTGGACCGCTGCTGAAATACTCGAACATATCGAGCAGGGTATAACCAACTGTGATTCGGCCAGGACTTCAGATGATTGCGTGGTAGCACTTGGCTTACTCGGGGATGCTAGCTTGTCTAACGCAGACATGCAACCTAAGCTGGCGGCGATGACTATGCAAATGGTCATGGACGAGGACCATGATAGGCTGCTTAATGCTATTTATGGTGGTGTTGCGGACTTCTTGTGCAACAAGATTCCTATCACATGCGACGATCTCAAGTATTTAAAATTATTTATTATTAATTTTGTAGTGCTTTATATTTCTCGGGTACGCCATTGCCATTTTTGCCGTTTCCTTATCAAATTCGGACTTTTAGATTTTTAGAATGAAAATAACAAGAAAAGTCAAAAATATTGTAGCCATTTTCGATATCGATGAAAAAAATGACAAAAATGATTTTGACATATTTCCTATGATGGCAAATAGTTGTAGTGTGAGCAAAACGTTTAATTTCAGAGCACTGATGAGTGACGTGGCAAACTTGGAACATGGTGGTGAACCTTAATGAGGCTGACAAAGAAAGAAAAGACTTTGATGGGCGGCGCCTGTTATTTTACCGAATCTTTATTCGGTTGGTTATGAACATTATAACATGGGGTCCCGAAGTAAAAAAGACTTAGCTACCTTCTTAGATTATGTCAAGCAAGAAGCATGTATTTTCTCCATTTTCAGAAAAAATATATCGTACTTAATTTGAGGTAGAAAAACTTGTCATATTAAACCTTTGTTTACGGTAGTTCAAGTTGTTTCATGAAGCAAACATTTTCTTTTTTTCCTCTTAACTTTTAACAAACCTATTTTAGTTTTTTGAACTCCCTAGCTTTGACCATGTTATACTTCGTTCTACCCCTTTGTAAGCTTATGGTTGTACGATATAACCGTTTTCGCATAACGAATAGGAATGACTCTAAAAAGAACTTTTTTCTGGGCAACCAAGAATTGGTATTTTTCTCTCAGTGCTCTAACCTTTTTAACTTACAATACTAATACAAACGTGTAATCAAAACATTTTTATTAGTCGCACAATTGTAATGATTCTGTTGCAAAATTTATAGTTATTCCGCTTTGTAACATTGAAACTTCGGCCATTCCCTTTTCCTGATAAAAAGCATTTTCCTTGTCGTAACAAACGGAATGACTAAAAACATTGCATCAGAATCATCACTAATACGAACATGTAGTTGAAGTGCTATAAAACTGGTTGCACGAATAATTGCTTTATTAATGTTGGAATTATTGTAACGATTTTCAAAAGACATCTTTGTTGTCATGTGTGATAATTTACTGCTCTCCTCGCTAAAATACTATTATGTCAACCTTTGTTTCATAAAGCAACTTGAGATTCCATGAGGCATACCATGCCTGTGTGCCATGTAAACACATATGTGATGAGCTGCTTTAATCAAAATGTTTCTTATTTATTCGCTAACAAACAATCTCTTAGCGAAGTAGCCCGATATGATTGTGATCTTGGTGCTAATGTTTGCTGCAGTTGCAGATGCAGGTGATTATGGAGCCGATTTGCAAGAAATTGCTAAGAAGTTTCCGGCAGCTGGAGCAGCTGTAATCAATATTGACAGCTTGTTTAAGACGTTTGAATGTTCAGCAGGACAGGCTGGGTGTGATGGCATGAATACTGTTTGGAGCGCTGTGGTCGATTACATTTGCTTCAAGGAACCAGCCAGCTGTCCAACTTTCAAGTATTTAAAATTATTGTGCACCTAATACCTATGTCATCACCATTTTTACTATTTCATAATTTGTGCTATCTCACCATATTTGCTATTTTACCATTTTTGCTATTTCAACCATTTTCGATTTTTAAAGTTTAAACATAACATAACGTTTAATTACAGGAAATTGCTCGTGGATTTAGCCTTGACGGAAAGCGCATAAAGCAAAAAGAAAGTAACCTACCTTCTCAAATTATCTTATGGAATGTTTTTTTTGGGTTTTGCAGTCCCCACTCACTGTGGCAGTTTTTGGAGTTGAATGATGCATTTTGAAAAAGAAACGAACATTTAAAAAAACATTATAAAAACATTTAACACGAATTGAATAAATTGTATAAATTTAATCTCTTGTAAGTTTTTTAAAGAAAAAAGATAGTACCGCGTCTTTAGATATTCGGTTTGTGGTGGAAGATCTTGTTCATCATCATTTATTAAACTTTGTTTACGGTAGCTTTTTAAGTAGCAAGAATTTTTTGTTATATTTTTCTTTCTTAACTTTAAAAAATATTTAAAAATTTTCAAGTTTCAACGAAACTAAAATACACTTTTATTTTGCGAGTTAAATTTTTCATCAATGAGTAGTAGCCAGCTGATAAGATCATTAATTTACTAAAAGATTCTTCGATATAATAGACCAGATTGCAGTTGCAACCTTTTCAACTTCGAGTTTGTTATACCCCACTAACAGTAAAATTAAGGGGGCAGCACTCAGTCACTTTATCATGATAGAGGCGAACTCCTTCACAAATTAAATTGTGTACAGTCGAAAAGGAATGACGGCTATTGAAAACAAATGTCAGAGAAGTCAGAAGAGTCAAAGAAATCAAGCAATTTCGAATTATTACTGAGGATAAAATTGTGCAATCTTAAACAATGAATTTATTACAGTTTCTACACGACACGATTTTAATAAAATTATTTTATTGTTCTAAAAAATCAAAGTCTTGCAAGAAGTCTATGCGATGAATCTTGCTGTCTTAGCTTTCTTTTAAAGTCCACTTTTTCAGCTAGCTTCTTTGTGGCCTGTAAATTATTGCAATATCAAGCACATACCTAAATAGGAAAGACTAGAAGGTATTACAATGGCATGGAAAATTGGATAATCATGACCACACTAACCTTAACTACTCGTTTTCTATTGGCTGCCGCCAACCCCCTTAATGCACCAAACACAGTCGTTACCAATGCTAACCCAATGCAGAATACACCCAGCACTTTAACAGTAACACCGTACCACAGATGATCTGTAATTATTGCTACTAATTATATGTACTAATTATTGCTACTAATTATATGTACTAATTATTGCTACCATTGTCACAGTGACAACATAAACATACGTTAAAATACTTATTGAAAATGGGTTTTAAGAAAACGTATTTAACATGTTTTCCCTCTTACACTTAGGAATTTCATTACAAGGGGATGGCATTATCGTACACAACACAACTGTTACCATGACAACACTACTGTTACCATGACAACACTACTGTTACCATGACAACACTACTGTTACCATGACAGCACTACTGTTACCATGACAACACAACTGTTACCATGACAGCACTACTGTTACCATGACAACACTACTGTTACCATGACAACACTACTGTTACCATGACAACACTACTGTTAACATGACAACACTGCTGTTACCATGACAACATCACTGTTACCATGACAACACTACTGTTACCATGACAACACTACTGTTACCATGACAACACTACTGTTACCATGACAACACTGCTGTTACCATGACAACACTACTGTTACCATGACAACAATATTTTTACCATGACAACACTGCTGTTACCATGTCAACACTGATGTTACCATGACAACATCACTGTTACCATGACAACACTACTGTTACCATGACAACACTACTGTTACCATGATAACACTACTGTTACCATGACAACACTGCTGTTACCATGACAACACTACTGTTACCATGACAACAATATTTTTACCATGACAACACTGCTGTTACCATGTCAACACTGATGTTACCATGACAACATTACTGTTACCATGAAAAAACTACTGTTACCATGACAACACAACTGTTACCATGACAACACTGCTGTTACCATGACAACACTGCTGTTACCATGACAACACTGATGTTACCATGACAACACTATTGTTACCATGACAACACTGCTGTTACCATGACAACACTGATGTTACCATGACAACACTACTTTTAACATGACAACACTACTGTTACCATGATAAAACTAATTTTACCATGATAACACTACTGTTACCATGACAACACTACAAATAAAAAGACCAACCTATGACAGCGATATCTCCCAATCCCACTGTGGTCATTGTGATTGTGTAGAAATAGAAAGATTTTAAAAACGAGTCGTTTGGGTTACTGTTCGCTAATATGCTGGACATTATCACCAAGTAAACTACTAGCATTATCAAACTTATCACTGAAAATGTAATATATATTATCGTTAAAATATCGAATATATAGCAAAAATAAGTACCTTACGAGACATATTTATATGGTACGAAATTTGGGGATTCCGATCCCCAGAATTATGATCCACATAAATATGTCTTGTAAGGTATTATCAATAATTACCTGTATTCGGTATTATTGTGTCTACTGGTATAATTAAAAGTATAACTGACTATTATACCTGTTAGTATTAATGATGTTGTAAACTTTGTAAGTCTTCTTGTCTGGCCAGCGTGTGATACGCTAAACCTATTAACAAGTCGTTCAATTAACTTTAATATCTGAAAATACGTAAATGAATTATGTTTCCATAGTAATCATGTTTCCATAGTAACACTATAACAGGTAATATAGGAAGAGTGTCAGACTTGAGTGGTGATCATCGTAACCATTTAATTTCGTGAAATACTTGAATCTAGATCATAAGCAGGCTAATGAATTTTTGCCATCATTTCGAATAATACCAAATGGGTTCTGAATAATTTACTCTATTATAACTTGATTCCAGCTTTATTTTGATGTGGATTGATTCACCTGAATAACGTTACCTACCTTACGAATAATAATGAGGATGCATAAAGCAAATAGATTAAGATAGCTCATCATCAACAGCATGCCAGGAAGGGCGTACACAAGGACGAGTAACTTTCCTCCAGAGGTGTGCGGCACCATCCCGCCGTACCTGCGTGTTAGTTAGTGACACGTGGTATAAATACTGTGCTCTTATTGGTTAAGTTGTGACACGTGGTATAAATACTGTGCTCTTATTGGTTAGTTTGTGACACGTGGTATAAATACTGTGCTCTTATTGGTTAGGTTGTGACACGTGGTATAAATACTGTGCTCTTATTGGTTAGTTTGTGACACGTGGTATAAATACTGTGCTCTTATTTGTTAGTTTGTGACACGTGGTATAAATACTGTGCTCTTATTGGTTAGGTTGTGACACGTGGTATAAATACTGTGCTCTTATTGGTTAGGTTGTGACACGTGGTATAAATACTGTGCTCTTATTGGTTAGGTTGTGACACGTGGTATAAATACTGTGCTCTTATTGGTTAGGTTGTGACACGTGGTATAAATACTGTGCTCTTATTGGTTAGTTTGTGACACGTGGTATATATACTGTGCTCTTATTGGTTAGGTTGTGACACGTGGTATAAATACTGTGCTCTTATTGGTTAGTTTGTGACACGTGGTATAAATACTGTGCTCTTATTGGTTAGTTTGGGACACGTGGTATAAATATTGTGCTCTTATTGGTTAGGTTGTGACACGTGGTATAAATACTGTGCTCTTATTGGTTAGTTTGTGACACGTGGTATAAATACTGTGCTCTTATTGGTTAGGTTGTGACACGTGATATAAATACTGTGCTCTTATTGGTTAGGTTGTGACACGTGGTATAAATACTGTGCTCTTATTGGTTAGTTTGTGACACGTGGTATAAATACTGTGCTCTTATTGGTTAGTTTTTGACACGTGGTATAAATATTGTGCTCTTATTGGTTAGGTTGTGACACGTGGTATAAATACTGTGCTCTTATTGGTTAGTTTGTGACACGTGGTATAAATACTGTGCTCTTATTGGTTAGGTTGTGACACGTGGTATAAATACTGTGCTCTTATTGGTTAGGTTGTGACACGTGGTATAAATACTGTGCTCTTATTGGTTAGGTTGTGACACGTGGTAAAAATACTGTGCTCTTATTGGTTAGGTTGTGACACGTGGTATAAACACTGTGCTCTTATTGGTTAAGTTGTGACACGTGGTATAAATACTGTGCTCTTATTGGTTAGTTTGTGACACGTGGTATGAATACTGTGCTCTTATTGGTTAGTTTGTGACACGTGGTATGAATAAAGCGATCTGATTGGCTAATCTCTCCGTAGTTCGTACCCTATCGTCGTCATGATAGTGCTCGCAAAGTCCATCGAGCTCCAAAAGTTCCAGAAATGATATTCAGCCTCCTTAGAATCAGCTTTAAAACATCGTCCTTTAGAGATGCGATAAAGAGTTTCCCAGTCATTGTCGGTTAGGAAGCGAGTGA